GATGGACGTTTGGATGGATTGTGGATGGTTGGATGGAAGATGGATGGACGTTTGGATGGATTGAAGATGGATAGATGGAAGATGGATGGACATTTGGATGGATTGAAGATGGATAGATGGAAGATGGATGGACATTTGGATGGATTGAAGATGGATGGATGGATGAATGGATGGATGGATTAATGGATGGATGGATGGATGGATGATGGAAGGCGGATTGATGGATGGATGGATGATGGAAGGCGGATTGATGGATGGATGGATGATGGAAGGCAGATTGAAGGATGGATGAATGATGGAAGGCGGATTGAAGGATGGATGGATGATGGAAGGCGGATTGACTGATTGATGGATGGATGGATGGATGGATGGATGGATGGTTGGATGGATGGATGGAAGATGGATGGTTTTAAGGATGGTTGTTGGATGGTTAGATGGCAGATGGATGGATGGATGGAAGGCGGATGGTTGGATGGATGGATGGAAGATGGATGGATGGTTTTAAGGATGGTTGTTGGATGGTTGGATGGCAGATGGATGGATGGATGGATGGATGGATGGATGGATGGATGGAAGGCGGATGGATGGAAGGGTGCATGGACAGATGGATGGGAATAAGAAGTGGATTAAACCCTTATTTTACCATCTTGTTCAGTTTTTCTATTCTTATATTCCAGACTACAAAGACTAAAAATACTTTTAAATTTAACTGTTTTGAGATTTTTCAAGCAGAGCTCTTGAATATATTCAAGCGGTGTTCACAATTTTTTTTTACCAACGTTTTATTAATCATCCCTAAGTTAGTCCCTGTCATCCAAGTCATCACACTTTCCCTACCCTTTGGAACTGGTCTTGGTTTTCTGTGCTTTCTGATTTGGCCGTATACGCAGCATGGTTTGTAGCGTACAATGATAATAAAACTACTCTATTTTGTTCTGTTCTATTATATTCTATTTATTTCTATTCTATTAAGGGTATAACAATGGTTCATCTGTTGACTTTTGGTTCCTTTTCTTTAACTGTGCAAAGTTAAATTAAGAGCTAAAATGGTTGACAATAACAAAACTTGCATAAAATTAGCCAGTATGAAATGGAAATGGGTAAAAACATCCAAAAAAAGTTTTTCCTTATCAAAACCACTTTCAAAAATGAGGAAGAAAAAAAAAAGACCTGATGGATGGCTCAGGAGATGGCACTGCACTATTTTCCTAATTCCTCTCCTCTATGAAGCAAAATAAATCTTACCCATGCGTATAGCAGCTAGCAGGTCACTGCGAGCGTCGCTGACCGCTGTGTTCTCAGCCTGCGCCGTGGAAGACATCTTGTAGGAGTGGGAGGCACCAGCTGTAACGGGTGGAGGCGGTGGACCTGGTGGACCGGGAGGAGGCGGAGCCATCTGAGCTCCAGATACAGGTGGCGGAGGAGGAGCGTAACCTCCAGAGACAGCCATGGGGCCAGGGGACATGGGTCCTCCGGGTGGTGAGGCGAAGGCCGTCTGCGCAGAGGGTATGAGGGGTGCAGGGGGAGGCGGGGGAGGGCCAGTGTTGGCATAGCCATCCATGCTGTAGAAAATAGGCAGAAAACCATCAGCAATACACTAGGTGGCAGTAATAACACAACATGAAGTATCACATGTTAGGGCCTGTGCTGAGTCTCTTACACCTTTTGGTCCCAGTAAAGAACAGATACCGTTGGAACAGAAAATCCATTTGGCTGCTGAGAACAACGTGCAACATAAAATAGGTCACGTCTTTGTAAGCTGGATTCTCTAAATTAATCTGAAAAGTGTCCAGGGATTAGACAATGCTGTCCCCTGTTTCTCATTTGTTCTGCCATTAAAGCCTAATTGCTCAGGCAGGATAATGAAAGGAGGTGAATCCTTTTAAAGGTGATGAGCTTTTAAAACACATACACAGTAAAAACATCATCAGGTTTTAATATCAACCCCGGAGGAGCAGCTGAAAAAACTAATCAATGTGGTGGGATTGTTTTGTCAAAGACTTAACCTGACAGAAGATAATAGAGCTGCTACTGAATTATTAGATGTATTTCTCCTGTTAGTTTGAGTTTGTTTTAATACATAAATATGAGCTGAGATTCATCTATAGCAGATTATTTGCCTGATATTTTAAGCTTCATCTGGGTTATGATGAAAGGGAACACTGAAACAGTCAGAAAGAAAGTTTCTTAACCTGACAGCAGATTTATAGATTTCTGATTATAAACCAGATGTACCATAGTTTGGAAAAGTATTACATGCCTTGAATGTTCCTTATTTTTTCTCATCACAGCAACAAACCTGAGACTATTTTACTGGGATTTTATATAACCGACCAACACAATGTGAGACCATAATGATGCTTTGGTTTTTGGTCATGTAAATAAGAAAAGAGGAATATGTTAAGTCAATATTTTATGAAAAACATTTTTTTGTTCTGATTATAGCTGCAGGTCTTTATTGCATCCAGAGATTGGCCCATTCTTCCTTGCACTGCAAATGTCTTAAATTAAGTGTATTATTTACTCTTAATTTCTGTAGGTAAATTAGATGATTTGCCAATGGAAGGAGTATTTTAACTCTTAAAATAAAATAATTCGAAAATATGGACTTGAAATAAGACAATGCAATTGTTTTTTCTCATTTTAAATCTAAATTGTCTTGTTTCATTGGCAAATTACCTCACTTGCCTCGGCAATTAAAGAGAAAATGCACTTAATTTAATTAGAATAAACATAATTAGATTTCAATTTTTCGCAGTGTGCCTTCATTTACAAAAAACGTTGACCACATTTGTCTGTGCTTTGACTAGGCCGTTCTAACACGTTAATGCCTCCATCTTAACCATCCCATCATAGGGTGGTTGTCTATGCTGAAGAGAAGCTCCCCCCACAGCATGATGCTTCCACCACTGCGGGATGCTGTGCTTATGGAGGAGTGCCCTATCATTTTTTTTTTTTTTTTTAAGCACACGTGGGTAAGTCTGAAAGGTTTCAATTTCTTATCATCTGACCACGCCATCTTCTTATATCTGTTTGCTGAAAGCCGACATGACCCATTAGACTTATGTGACTTTTTAAGAACTTTGAATCTCTTCTCGTTATGTCAAGATAAATGTCAGATTTTTTGGAGTACTGAAATCGTTTTCCTGTAAAAGATTTTTCCACCCCAGCTGCTCCTATGATAAATGCTCCTTGTTTAGGTCTTGGTTGTTCTGGTTGGTCTGCAATAATCAAGATGCAAAAAGCAAAACGAATCATTTAAACCATTTATCATTTAAACCTCAATGTTTTTTATCAACTAAATATTCAACGTATGCTTCTCAGTGAGTATTTGCCAACATAAATAAAGACAAGCTTGGAATTCAGTGAAGCTTTGATCTACCTGTAGTCCATCGGTGGCAGAGACATAGATCCACCATTCATGGCCTCAGCAGGCGGAGGAGGCAGAGGAGCTTGGTGGTGGTGAGAACGACCCAGTGTCCCACCCTGGTACGCCATCATGCTCCTACCTCTGCTGTCATGATCCCCTCCTCCACGTGGGGCGTGTCCTGCGGCCATCTGGGCGGCCAGGATGCTGGGCGGAGGGCCAGAGTAGGTGTGGGCGTGGCCGGCATGGTTCATACTGTTTGGGTAGTGATGTGGATCTGCACTGTGACCCCTGTTTTCTGGTGACATGGATCCTTCAGAGGAGGCTGCTCTGTCCCTGTGAATGGTGTGTCGGTGGTCCGGCCTCAGCTCCTTATCCAGAGCCATCATGTTCCACTCCTGTCGGCGGTTCCGTGCCTTGCGGACCTTTTTAACTTCCCTCTGCAGTGTCCCATCCACACAACGCCTCTGCTCCTAAAGCAAAGTAAAAGAAAAAGGTGATGTGGACCTCCGCAGACCCTACTTACACAATAAACTGTGAAGGAAATGCTAAAGTGATGGTTTCTGTGCTTCTTTCTTAATTGTTTTTTAAGAAACGCCTCTTGCTTGAGATAAAGTTGTTGATGGCAGGCAATTACAATCTCATAAACAACCCATAATCCATTACTGAGGGAAATCAAATTGGCCAGCTTTATTACCTTCTGCTTCCTCTTCTCTTTCCTTTTGTCCTCAGTGTCCTGCAGCATCTTTTCTTTCCACAAGTCAAAAAAGTAGGAGGGGTCGGTGTAAAACTTCAGGGCTTCCTTGTGATCATCTCTAAACAAACAAACACGAAGAGGGTTATCCTAACATACAGATATCTCTGTGTCACTTTTGTGTTAACCTTACTAAACCTACAGTTTATTTAGTATTTCCTCTAAGCACAACAAGCACAGAGCTACGCATATAGTTAAATATATTATAACACATCATTACTAATATTTGGCTCAACGTTCCTCAGCAAGCGGCAGACATACGGTACACTTTTCATAGCCGTCAAAAAGCTTCTGAAATCATACAGGGTTCCTACAGCATAAGACAAGTTAAATTCAAGACTTTTTATTGCAACTTAAAATAAAACTTTAAGACCAACTTTACAATAAACACAAGGAAAACATGGTAGCGACAATTTTACCAAAAATGTTTATTTTGACATAAATCATTACTTTCTGGCCAAGTAGCTATGTTTCAAATTTTGAAAAACTTTCTATATAGGAAGAAAGCTAAAAACACAAAAATAACAGATATTTTTACCAACTACTGAACTGAATTCACTGAATAACGTTTTTTGTTCCCTTCTCAAACCCTCTACTTTCATTGCCGGCGTACCGGCAAACATTATCCTGAGATTTGGTTCTACTGGCACTGTTGGTGATGTGAGAGATGCTGTGGAGGCGTTGCAGAGACAAGGGTGGAACAGAACAGAGAAATACCTGCTGCTTTTCCATAATTTGATTTTTGATGCTTTGAGTTTCATGCTTCGCACACGTGTCTCCAATGCCTTGATTCCAATCGTAGTTCATCTACATTCCCTGGTAGTGCTTTTAGCCATTTAGAAAACTCTTGGATGGATAACATATTTTTCATTGAATTTAAGCTTCCCCATGTTGTCCAGATAAAAAGTTACTGGCACATCTCCCCAAGCTCCGGCCACAATATTGTTTTTATTGCTTCTATCAGGACCAATAATGGTGACAGTGTGCGGTTCGCTGAATGTAAGAAATATATTGTCAATTATTTTAATGTTTGATATGGATTACAAAAATAAAATCCTATCTATGATGTAGTAACAATATTAAGACCTATGAAAGACTGATTTAAGACATTTTAATACCAATTAAAACGTTGTAGCACTAAGCTGTATAAACATTTCACCCTGGAACGGTGACTTGAATTAATTACTAAAAAATGTGTTATTTAAACAGAACAGTACATCCACATCGCAGAATGAAGATTATGATAATGAGGACATTGGATGTAGGTTAAGATTGCGCATATCTATCATATCGATATCTATATATGTAGTATACCTCGCTTATATTTCCATATAATTAGGGTAAATATTTTTATCAGTAGGATCTATAACAATAGCTGAGTCTAAACTGAAGAATAATTTAAAGGAAATTACAACCAGTTTTAAATGAAAGAAGAAATCTCTCATTTCTATTGTTTTTAATATTACAGCACTGGTGGAGAAATATGTCGATAAATAACTAGAGAACTTCTATTCTTTAAATCCCAGATATTTTTTAACTTGTACAATATGCATTAATTCAAGTTAAGTTGTTTTAATACATAATTGATTCTGTTCTCTATGGATGTGATACAGTGATGAAGTCTTTTCTAATAATGAAGAAAATAAAATCAATCAAGCAGATTTCATCTAAATGTCATGAGAAACGTGACCGCTTTTGTCAATATGTTCTTTGTTTTATTATGTGGATCTAGGATCGAATTGAATCGACAGCTTGTAAATATTGACAGCGTGTAATTTAGAGCTGCAGAAGATATTAAAGGCTGCTACAAATCAAATACATTTCAGGAAACATCTTGTGTTTTGTTGTTGTTTTTTTGTGTAAGGAGCTGGATGGATGTTTGAGCATTTGCTGAGCTAAAGGAGGGTAAGCCTGACCTGTAAGGTGTGAGGATGGTGAGCGGTGGAGGCTTGTCGCTCAGGTTGTACATCTCTTTGACAGGGTTAGGCACGCTGCTCTTGGACACCACCTGCTGGTCCTGTCTAGTGGAGCTCTTAAAGGCCTTCCTCATGTTGATATCTTGCAAAGAAACTGAGAGCACAAAGATAAAGAGGTAAAAAAATAAAATAAAAGGAGAAATTGTTGCAATCCCGGATTATTTTAAAATGGGGGTTTCATATGGTGGTAGAAATAGCTTAAAAAGAAACATGACTGACATTACTTTGGTGACAGATGGTGGCTCTCAGTGTAGTCTACCCTTCTACCCACCTTCCTCCACGGTGGAGTCCAGCTGTGTGACTTTGACAGCGAGCCGGTCGATACGGTCCTGTAAAGAGTTGGCACGCAGGTAGAAATTGTTGGCCTCGTTAAAGAGCTCGCCAAATATGTCCTCTGCATGTTTACCTGGAGAAAACAGGAGCAAACAAAGAAAAGAAGAGAGATTGGGGAAACTGAATCAGAGAGGAGGCTTTAGTCTTTATTCCAAGCAGACTCTGAAGTCCGATCAATACAGCGATAATGTGATACCGAGCGAAACAAGAGTTGAAAGGTCTGTTCTGGGAACTGTAACTTATACGACTCTATAAAGAAACAAACTCATGAATAATTTAACCCAAGCCAAATATGAATCAGCCAGTCTGAACTTATATTAGTAGCAAGTGACTAAAAGAAGAAGCCTTAGTTGAGAGTCACATTATTGTTCTAAAGCTTTTTAAATCTCAAGAGAGCCTACCTTTGAGCTAAAACCTCTTTATACCTAACTAATTAAAGCCCCACTCCTAAAACCCTTTTTATTTTCTTTTTCATAGATTAGTAAAACATTTCCATAAAACAGCTCAAGCTCTGTTACATTGGATGTATAACATCTTTGAATTTTACCTCCATCCCTCCAGCCTTCCTGTCCCCCACATCATGATGCTGCCACCACCATGTGTGACATCAGTTTTCTACATCAGCCAAAAAGTTCAGCTTTGGTCTCACCCGACCAGTAGTCTGCTTAGTGTCTCGTAACTTTTTCGGTTGCCGCTCTTCCATCAGTGCTAGATTTGACCGCTGAAGGCAACTGAATCTCCTTATTGAAAGGTGTTAGAGTAAAGCATTTAGAAATGCTTCCCATTGTTTTTATTATGTTTGAAAACCGTCTTCTTCATCTTGTTTCCACAACTATAACATAGTTTGTGTTGATCCATCGTATTAAGCACTAAAGAAGCAGAGTGAAGTTAATGACTTTCACACGACAAACAGTGAAAAAGTTTGGCATGAATATATATGCGCAAGGCCCAGTCTTTTTATTCCTTTCCCCCCTTTACATAATCATGTAGAGAGTTGACAATATTGACACACTAATGAACAAAGGCAGGAAAACAGTGATATGAATAGGTTATTCTGCCACAAAGCTTCCTAAAGAGAACAGGTTGACATTTTTAATCTTGGCAAAAGCTTCCTCTTACAATTCACAAATATTCCTGTAAACAACGGAGAGAAACTGTTGCTATGTGGGAAAAAAAAACAGCATGCAACAGCTTTAGAAAACTATCCTGTCCTAAAAATAGAGAAGGTTGCTTTGCACTGATTAAAACCAAACGGAAGAGGTTTTGTTAAAAGTTTAGTGACTATTTCAGAGCAGAGCATTATGTCTGACGTCCTGTACAGAATGGGAAACACAGGGCTATTTCTGTCCGGCCTGCTGACAGGATGGGCTGCAGGAAAAAAAAAACATTTGGAGGAAGGAAGAATCCCAAATCATTCAAGCCGAGCATATTAACTTTATGGTCCGGCTACACACCCATGTGCACAAAAACATCCACGCCGTACATGGTATGTCGATTTCCTCTGTCAGGCCCTTGAAAGCATTTATATTTAACCCACACAGCTGTTGTCAAAAGGCCAACTCCCATAGCAGGAACTTGACACAATAAGATGCAGACAGAATCAATATGGCGGGGGCCAAAAAAGCGGATAGGATTGATTTTGTTTTATCCCTCTAAAGTTCAGGGAATAACTTTCAAAACAGCAAACTCACCCAGAGCAATTGCTCTGCTGAGCTGTCCATCCCCCCTGTTCTCAGCAATAATGATTTTATGGGATTCTTTATAAATAAGGCTGATTCTATTAAAAAAAATAAGATCATTGGCACCTCTTTAACTATAATTGGTTTATCTCTGGAAGGTGAGGCAGCATCTGAGGTAGCCATAGAATCTGAACCAGGTTTAGACTGCTTTGATCCAGTTGAACTTTCAGTTTCCCTTTGATCTCCTCCTCCATTTTAAATGTGATTAATCTATCCCTGTTACAGGGTTATGTACCAAAGGCTTTTAAGGTTGCTGTAATTAAACTTTTACTTAAAAAACATCTCTTAACCCAGATGACTTGGTCAATTATAGACCTATATCCAATCTTCCTTTCTTATCTAAAATTATTGAGGAAATAGTTGTCAAACAAGTGTGCAACCACTTTTTAAGTTTCAGTCCGGCTTTAGAGCTCATAATAGCACTAAAACAGCTCTGTTGAAGGTTGCTAATGATATTTTCATGGCCTCAGATAATGAACTTGTATCTGTACTTGCCCTATTAGATCTCAGGGCTGCATTTGATACAATTGATCATAATAGTATTCTAGAAAGACTTTTAATATCTTGTAGGAATTAAAGGAACAGCACTAGACTGGATTAAATCTTATCTATCTGATCGATTTAAGTTTGTTCAGGTTAATGACAAATCTTCAACATGCTCAAGGGTTACCTGTGGAGTACCACAGGGATCAGTGCTCGGACCAATTCTCTCTACTATATATATGCTCCGTATCGGTAGAATTATTAGACAGCATGGGATTAATTTTCACTGTTATGCTGATGATGCCCAGCTATATCTGTCTATAAATCCAGATGAAGCTAATGCATTACATAGATTACAGGCATGTCTTGAAGACTTAAAAATCTGGATGACTCTTAACTTTCTGCTCCTGAATGCAGACAAAACAGAAGCTAGTCTTTGAAAAAGAAGCTGATTAGTCAGTCACTTCATTTGGATGTGATTAACTTGATCTCAGATAATAAAGTAAAAAATCTTGGTGTTGTTTTTGATCAGGACCTGTCATTTAAATCCCATAGAAAAGATGTTTCTAGAATTTCCTTCTTTCATCTGCGAAATATTGCAAAAATTAGAAATATCCTTTCCAAGGGTGATGCTGAGAAACTACTCCATGCATTTGTTACTTCAAGGCTGGACTATTGTAATTCTTTACTATCAGGAAGTAGAATGGGAGGCAGATCTTTTACTTATCAGGCTCCTTTCCTACCAGTTTTAGTCTGTGAGGCAGACACCCTGTCTACTTTTAAGGCGAGACTTAAAACTTTCCTTTTTGATAAAGCTTTTAGATAAAAACAGAGTAATGTTTGCTTAGACGCTGGGTGAGTAGAGGTAGATGGAGGTGGAGTGTTAACAGCCTGATCTGACGGTGGAGAAATTAATTTGTTTATATAGATATAGTTAGAGAACTTGGCCTCTTTCCAGCATAGTCCTGTTTCTTTTACTGTGACCATCAGAATTGGCTAGGAGCTTGTGTGCCTGGCTGTGTCTGTCCTGGGTGGAGACGCCTGCGGAGCTGGTTGACAGTTGCCTTTTATATCTCTGCTTTTTTTTTGTTTGTCTGCTTCTGTCTCCTTGAACCCCTGTTGGCCTTGGCAGATGGCCGCTCACACTGAGCCTGGTTCTGCTGGAAGTTTCCTCCTGTTAAAAGATAGTTTTTACTTTCTACTGTCACTACATGCATGCTTGGTGTGAGGTATTGCTGAAGAGTCAGCGACAAAATGCATGTCATGCAAGTTGATGACTGTATGCAAACAATTGGTTATCCAATCTGACAGTACTGTCCCTGTAAAGTGCCCTGAGATGACTTGTGTTATGATTTGCCGCTAGATAAATAGACTGAATTGAATTGAACTCATATGAGAGCTGGAAAATAAACGTAGCTAAGTGGCAAATAAAAAACACATTAACAGTCCATTGAAGGGAGTAGATGGTAGATGGATAATGCTGTAAACACTCTTAAATTTGCAGTTGGCGAAGAGTAAACAGCTTTTAGTCCAACACAGTCTCCAGTGTACCAGTTCAGTCACATGTCCTCCGCTGGATGGATCCGCCCCTTCTGCGGCTGTTGTCTGAAATTATTACAATTAGGTGTTCTGTCCAGTATAAGGCTGCTGTAAGCCTGTGGCTAACCCTCTGACCCTCTCCCTCACTGTAACCATGACGACACACAAATCAATCACAGCTTTAGGATTAATGATGGAGCCATGTGATCCAGTACAAAGAGGATACACAGTGTATAAACATCATGGCGCTGAGCTTAATGGGGTAAAACCCAGAGGGTGCTGCAGATTCAGCTGCTTTCATTAGACAGTTTCTGGTTTTATTTATGGAAAAGTTAAAATATATTTTTTTATTTATTTTAGCAGCAGTTGGTTTGATTGAAAGTCTCATGTAGGAACACAGAAAGCGATGCTCATTCACATTCCCTATGTTGGCACATGGTGGTGGCAGCATCATCATGCTCAGGGTCGGACAAAATGAGAATAAGTTCACAGGCCATGAAAACCTCTGCAGCTGCACTGTGAGGGTCTGTTAGCGTGTCTCTTACTCAGGCTGCTGAGCTGACGGATGATGGCAGACAAGGTGTTGTTCATCACACACTCCAGCTCGCTGCCGATACCATCCGGCAGCGCCCCCCGGCAGAGGTGACGCGGATCGATGTTCCTCTTTACCAGCGGCATGGCGAGGCCTCAAGCCAACGACAAACTGTGGGAGGAAAAGGAGCAACGAGACACAGATGTAGACGGTCAGCATCTAATCTGCAGAGGCGTTATTGAACAAAAGAACTGATTAAACTCCTAATGACTCCAATGATTGATACTGCAGTCTATATATTGGAAAGCAGTCAGATTTCCCAAGAGTGACATTAAAACTGCTTGTAGAAGCTGATCAGTTTACCACCACAGATTAGAACCAATAAGGAGCAATTGACCCTTACAGGAAACACCAGAGACACTAAACTTATTTTGGGTTTAAAGCATTCGCATCTTCATCAAAGCTATTTCACAGTTTTAAAGATGTTAAGACAAATTTCAAATACTGAACTGAATGTTTTCACGACGAGCTAAGACTGTTTGAAGATATTATGATAATAATGACCTTCATTCTTTAATAGTTAATCAGGAAAAAGGGCAGAGAAAGAAGGGAAAGATGTGCAGTAAATAGCTGCTAGGCTGGAAATCGAACCAATTAAAGCTTAATCCAGGACTTGAGCCTCTATACATGCTGGATCAGATGTTTTTTTTTTATTTTATCACATTTTGCTCTTTAGCAAATTATTATTAATTTGTAAAAAAATAAATAAATAAATTGTGGAGCTAACTCAAGGAATTATCTACTGACTGGACTTTCAGCTTCAACAGTCCTCTCGAATGATCTGTTGAAAACTGATAAGAAAGACAAAACATTAAATCCATCTCATCTCCATTGGAAGATAAAGCTGTAAAAAGTCATATAGATAAAAATGTTTGTCTGCTGTTTATTTAGGCCAATACAACAGAGAGCTAGATGGGAATTCCTCTCTCCCTAATGTTGGCTTTCATCTAAAACTCTGTGTGAACCTCTCTGGGGAATCATGGCGGTGGCGGTATCATGCATTGGGGATGTTTTTCTTCACCCAGATCTACTGCTCGTCCCAATTGTACTTGGAAGTCCTATAACAAACATCCAAACAGGAAGTGTCGACAGGAACTCCAGAGAAAGTCGGACATTTGAGTAGAAATATCAGGGCAACATGTCTTAAAGGTGCCGTAGCAGATCTTGGAACAACGGTTCCAGCAAGCCATATTTTTTAACATACACAACCATGCCTCTCCCTTAAGCCCACCCCTCTAAACCACGCCTTCAAAACACATGAACGCGCATGCTGTCTGTCGAGGTGATCGGATGTTTACGAGATCGAGAACAAAACAAGCCCCAAGACCCAGTGCTCGTGACATGAGCCAACAACAACATCATGCTATGTCCACACCTAAAGCAGCAGAGGCAGCAAAAGCAGCTAGTTTACATGCAAAGTCAATGGTTGGCGCGCATCACGGCGCAGTAAAAGGTCCCGCAGAGCATCTAGAGCAGCACATCTAGAGCAGCCTCTGGCCCGGTCGCTGATCTGGAAGCTGGCAGGGAGACAGACACAGCACTGATGATGCAGAGCGCTATGATCACTCCTCTGAAACAGTTTATTAAAGCCTAAATTAACTTAAAATGCCGAAATCTGCTGACAAAACATGTTCGCTTTTATTATCCTGGTGCCATCCTTCCAACCGCCGCGGCAAACCACGAAGAGGCGACCGGGCCAGAGGCTGCTGTTGAATGGGATTCCTACTGACAGCGAACCGCCGGTGTACGGGGTCTGAGCGGCTCCAACAGAAATAATATTTGAAGGCAGGATGGTAATCTGGATGAACTGACAGCACAGACCATGTTTTCAGGTGGACTTTCTCACTTCAAAATTGATTTAAACTACTTTCTACCCACCTATCATATCAAATATAGCTGCCATTGTTACAGGCAAAGAAAGGATAGGGTAGCTCCACCCAGTGTGCATCAGACCCATGTTTTTGCTGCTCTTGCTGCTTTAGGTTTGAACGTAGCATAACAGTGGCTAGCTTCTAGCCATGGCGTCCTGCACGAGCATTGTGGTGTCGATTCGATCATGAGTGAGGTTACGAGCACGGGGGGAGGGACATGCAGACGACCATGATTGACATGTCATGAAACAATCGTATACAACGGGCCGTGTTTTGTGATTGGTGGATGTTACTCATTGATTTCACACTGTAGCGGGGACCATTTATTTTAGTTTCACTTCCAGACCTGCTATTTCACTGCTTGCTATGCAACTGTTGGAAGATCTTTAGGCCACATGGTACAAAAATGCATCAGAAAAGATCTCCTACTGCACCTTTAACCGATTTCCACATTAAAAATGTCTGCTTCTGGTAACAGCGGTAGTTAAACTTCCCTACTTTAACTCTCTGTAGAAGCTTGTTTATATGCATGTACATTTTACCTTGTAGTGTTTTTAAGATTCATGTTTAACAATGTTTTTATGCACAAAATAGAGACTAGATCAGTGTTTTTGTCGTTGTTATCAGTTACCACGTGGTAACAATGGGTATAGCTGACAAATACCAAAAATAGAGAACTAGAGTGACCACAAGCGGAAAACTGGAAAGCCATCACCTTAGAAATAAGGGTAAAGTTTAATGGAAAGCACTCCTAGATCAATGCATCGTCTTTTGTTTAAATGACCCAATAAATCTGTAAAAAGACTTAAAAACCGCCGTTCACAGATAGGATCCATCTAATCAAACTGAACTAAAGCCATCTCTTAAAGAGGAATAGGGCAGTGTCAGACACTAGGTGTGCAACGCTGCTGGAGACATATCCTCAAAGACGTCCAGCTGTTACAGTAGACGGAGGTGGTTCTACGCAAGAGAGGTGTTGGATTTTTATTTTAAAGAATAAAATAAAGACCATGTTTAATTTTCCTCATGGAAGTATATCTCCTATCTCCTAAAATCCTCCCAAAAACAAGTGTTTGGGAAATATTGGAGAAGAATTGAGATGAAGTTTGAGCAAAGTGCTGTACGTTGTGTTAAAACCAGTGATGTGTGGCTGTTATGAGCGACTAGCAAAGCCAGGAGACTCCTGGCGACCAGAGGAAAGATTAAAGCATTAGTGAAGGGAGGATACAACATGCCAGCTAATCCCAGGCCAGCTTGTCATAGGCCCAGCTGGAAAATTGACACAGCCGCAGATTCTGCTAAGCACCAAAGAGGAAAAACATAAATAAAAAATGCTAATACGCCCTAAGGCAATGCTGAAGCTCTTTGGCTTCCTATAAACAATAAACTGTGCTTTCCTTTCCCCGACTGTACTTCTGAACATGACTGGCTGACTTCAACCTCAGTGGCAAAGGATCAGACACTCCAACTCTCTGTGATTAAAAGGACTAAAAGTAGGAGAGAACCCAGAGCATCAGAGCTTTCCTCTTATCAGTCCCTCTTCCTGCTTCCTGTTTTTGAAGCCCAACTTCTCCTCCTGTTTCCTAGTCCTTCTCTGGTGTCACATCAAACCTCCCCGTCCAAAAACATTTGGAAAGAACAATGCAGTCATGGCTGGAGAAGCAACCAGAAGGCAAGTTTTCTAAACAAACTGTTCTCACAGTATTTTAGGAAAGGATTCAGGCTCTGTTATAATTCCAAAGTTGTTTCTTTTTTCTTTTTTACTACACAGCTTTGCTGAAAAAAAATGGAGAGAAGAGAAAAAAATAAAACACCAGAGGAAAACAGGTTGCAGCGACACAGGAGATCTGGCAGCGGGCTAATAATAGCAGCCTAGCACATGAAATTAAAAAAACAAAACAAAGAATAACTCATCATAAACGGGAACGCTTGGCAGCAAACTGAAAAGTACAGTAGAGGTCCTGCAAAGAGAACGCAGAGCTTTGAAAAGCTTCCTGCGAACAGATTTCTGGTGCTTTCAAAAGACGATTTAATTTAATAAGGGAAATATAAGCTAATCATCTTATTAAACGCCAGTAAAATTATAATTGCAGTGCCTGTTTCAGCAAACAACTGGATTTAAATCTGTCTATTTTTAAACCTGCGACTTCAGATCTTTGTGCAACAGCATAGATTGAGTTCAGCCATTATGGTTCATCTCCCAGGTTTTTAACCAACTAAACATCAGACCATGATCATAGTATCACCACAATGTTGGCCTGCTAGCATGACTGCCATCCGGAGTTTGTTGCATTCAGTGTTTATAAATCTTTTTTTTTTAATTTAAATCAGTGTTTTTCACCCTGTGTTACCTGAATCGTTAAAAAAAGGATGGATTTTTTTTTTCTTTTCCAGACTCAAACAGAGGAGCCCAAATCTAATCAATTTTCTGGGAGATGAAGATTGAAAACAAGTCTTTTAATAAGACCAATAATTTTGTTTTTAAATAATAGGTGATAAGATATATTGAAGCAAAATCAATAAAAAAAAAGGTTATTAATTTTAGGGCTGCAACTAACTATTATTTTGCTAATCGATTAATAGGTGGATTATTTTTTTCTATTAATAATCAGATAGCCAAAGATTCCTTAAAGAACTTTTTTTTTATGATATTAAACTAGGTTAAACTAAAACTTTTCCACTTGAGGAGTTCTGGACAGAGAATATTGACAAGCGAAAACGTTTTTGTTGTGACTGTGGGGGGAAGCTAGAGTACCTGGAGAGAACCCACGCATGCTTATGGAGAACATGCAAACTCCATGTAGAAAGACCCCTGGCTGGAAATCAAACCCGTAACCTTCTTCAGTGCTACCCACTGCGCCACTGAGCAGCCCATCTTTTTATTCTTAAATGCTAAATATTTATATAATTTAACAATTGTGATATAATTTCTGCTCTAAGTGGATTGCTTTAACACCTTAAGGCATGTTTTAGAGTCTCTATACTCCAGTTAACTATTAATTGATTACTATATCAGTTGACAATTATTCCATTAATAATTGATTTACATAAAAAAATAGCTGATTTGTTCAACATGTTAGCATTATTTCTAATCGGTAAAATAAAAATAAAACTACCAAGTGTATGAAAACCGTTGAACTGTGTAGATTTAAATGACTTTGTTTTCCATATTTTACTTTTTAAAAATCAGTTTAATTTGTTGCTTTTTAAGATTTTTTGGCCGTTTTTAAGTTTTATGAC